ATGGTTCTCACCCACTGCAAAAATCCTATGAGGGCAATAAACCAAACAAAGGCCTTTTGGAGAAATGGCTAATTTCACAGTTGGGATGGGGGGGGTGAAAGATGAATCTGGAATATCTTGTTATGCCAAAAATTTTTTAAGTGCTCAAAAAAAACCCAGAGTGATGAGAACATCAAAAGGACACAGGAGGACTTTCAGCTCCAGGAAAATGGAATAAATGTACTTTTCCCTGTCTTTCCAACTATGTGCCACTAAAAACCCTGGGCATCACGTATGAAACAAACATAAGACAACTCTGAAAGGTGGAGAGAACACCAGCGAGGACCCTGGCACCCAAGGAATGACCTGGTGGTGAGTCCCTGGGTTTCTCTTTGCCTCACGTACCCGAGACTGGGTGCTGGAGCAAGGAGCAACTCAGAAATGCCAAGAGGAGTGACAAAAGAAGCCCCAACCAAGCCTGCTCTCTCCAGCCAAAGGCCCAGGAAAGGGGCAGCCCAGCAGGACAGGACATTTTTAGACAAGAACTGCTTTATTCCAGCCATTCACCACCACAAAACAAAAAGAAAAACAAAAACAAAAGCTATGGTTCTAACCCCATTCACAGGAACAAAGGCTAAGTGGGGAACCTAAATATCTCCCCCTCCCCGGCTGGGCAGTCAGAAGTCATCCCACTTCACTCCATTTGGATGTGTCAGAAAAAGACAAGCAGGGGGCCAGCACTTTCATTCCTGGCGCCTGCACTGAGGAACCCTCCATACCATCACCACCCCCACCACCACCACTGGAGTCAGTGTGAGCACATGGGGAGACTGCCTTTCCACCACCACGAGGTAGTAATGAGGCACCCCTCCCTTCTTTCTGTGTCAGAGCTGAGTCCGAGAAAGTCAGCTAATACGGAAGATTTAACTAAGACCCAGAACCTCTTAACATAATCCCCAAAACTTCAGGTTTCAAACAAAAATAATTCGTGATGCTAACAACCGGAAAATCTCAAAGTAGAACGAAAAAAAGACACTGCTGAGATGATAGAGATGTTAGAACTATCTGAGAAAGATGTTAAAGCTGCCATAACAACCATGCTTCAATGAGCACCTGCAAACATGGTCGAAACTGATGACAAAATAGACTCAGTGAAAATACAGGAAGTCTCACCAAATAAAGAGAATGTATTTTAAAAAGAACAAAATGAAAAATTTAGAACCAAAAAAAAAAAAAAAATACAATGAATAGGTTCAACAGCAGAATGAAAGGGACAGATGAAAGAATCAATAAACTTGTAAATAAAACAACAGAAAATATCCAATATGAAGACAAAGGTAAACTAGACAGAAGAAAATGAACAAAGCTTCAGAGATCTATAGGGCTATAACAAAAGAACTAATATTTCTGTCTTGGAGTTCTGGAAAGAAAGGAGAAAGGGGGATAGGCTAAAAAAAGAGTACTTGAATAAATAATAGCTGAAAATTTCTCAATTTGTCAAGAGCCATAAACTACAGATCCAAGCAGCTCAGTAAATCTCAAAGAAGATAAACTTGAAGAAATCCACACCAAGAAACATCATAATCTAACTTCTAAACACTAGTGACTAAAACACTAAAAAATCTTGAAAGTAGCAAGAAGGAAATGACAGTTTCCCTATAGGAAAAAGACAATTCAAATAACAGCATATTTCTCATCAGAAACCATGGAGGCCAGAAGAAAGTGGCACAGGAGTTTTTAAATGCTGAAGGAAATGAACTGTCAACCAAGAATTTATTACCAGTGAAAACAAGAAATGAAGGAGAAGTCAAGATATTCTCAGATGAAGGAAAACTAAGAAAATTTGTCACCATCACAACTACCCTAAAACAGTGGCTAACAGAAGTTCTCTAAAAAAGAAAGAAAACATAAAAAAGGGATCTTGCAACATCAGGAAGGGAAAAAGAACACTGTAAGAAAAAGCTGGGGTAAATACAACAAACTTTGCTTCTCTTGAGGTTTCTAAATGATGTTTGATGGTTGAAGCAAACAGAACACTGTGTAATGTGATTCCAAGAGTATGTGGGACCATATTTAGGACAATTATATCATAAACAGAAGAGGGCAAAGGAATGTAAAGTGAGGTAGAATTTCTGTATGTCACTCAAACTGGAGATCTGACAACATCAGTAGACTGTGGTAAGTTATGTATATATAATGCAATGCCAAGAGCAATCACTAAAAAAGCTATACAAAAAGATACACTCAAAAAATACTATAAGTCAAAATAAAATACTATAAAATGTTCAAGTAACCTACAGAAAAATTGGAAAAATTAAAGAGAAAAAACAGAGAATAGAAAACAAAAAATAATAAGCTGGAAGACGTAAGTTCTAGCATATAAATAATTATATTAAATGTAAATTATCTAAAAACAAAAAAATAAAGACAGACATAGATGGTGTGGATTTAAAAAAGTTTAACCCAATTCATGCACCTGGGTGGCTCAGTCGGTTGAGCTTCTGCCTTTGGCTCAGGTCATGATCTCAGGATCCTGGGATCGAGTCCCACGTTGGGCTCTCTGCTCAGTGGGGAGTCTGCTTCTCCCTCTCAGTCTCCCTTTGTGCTCTCTCTCTCAAATAAATAAAATCTTTAAAAAAAAAATTTGACCCAATTCTATGCTGTCTATAGGAAACTAACTTCACACATAATGATACAGGCAAGCTGAAAGTAAAAAGGGCAAAAATATATATCATGCTACCATTAACTGAAGAAAGTACGAGTGGCTAGATTAGTGTCAAACCACATTTCAGAGCATAGAAAATTACCAGGGACATAGAGGTATATTATAAGATGATTTTATTTTATTTTTTTATTTTTATTTTTTTTAAATTTTATTTATTTATTTAACTGACAGAGAGAGAGAGACAGCTAGAGAAAGAACACAAGCAGGAGGAGTGGGAGAGGGAGAACCAGGCCTCCTGCAAAGCAGGGAGCCTGATGCGGCGCTCGATCCCAGGACCCTGGGATCATGACCTGAGCTGAAGGCAGCTGCCCAACCAACTGAGCTGCCCAGGTGCCCCTATAAGATGATTTTTAAAAAAGCAAATCCACCAAGAAGACAAAGCAATCACCAATATGTATAGACTAAACAACAGAGCTATAAAATATGTGAAGAACAAAATGAAAAATTTAGAACTAAAAAAAATACAATGAGTAGGTTCAACAGCACAATGAAAGGGACAGATGAAAGAATCAATAAACTTGGAATTGAAGACATAAACACTCCTCTCTCAACAATCTCTAGAATAATTAGGGAGAAAATCAGCAAGGATACAGAAGAAGTCAACAATACCATCAACCAACAGGATCTAAACAATATTTATAAAACACTCCACCCAACAGCAGTAGTTGGTTCAAGTGTCAATGGAACATACACGGAGAGAGACCACATCCTGAGTCATAAAAGAAACCTCAACAAATCTAAAAGAATTGGAATCATACAGAGTGTCCTCTGACCATAATGAAATCAAACTAGAAAGCAAAAACAGAAAGCTAACAGGAAAATCTCTAAATACTAGATAATTAAACAAGAGGCTTCTAAATAATCACTGGGTCAAAGAGGAATTCGTAAGGAGAAAAAAATACACTGAGGTAAATGAAAATAAAAATACAGCATATCAAAATTTGTGGGTCACAGCTAAAGCAGTCCTGAGAGGAAAATTTATAGCACTAAAATACATTTGTAAAGAGGAAGACTCTAAAAATACAGGCTATCAAGTCTATAACCTAAAAAAGAAAAAAAGAAAAAGAAACCCAAAGCAAGCAGAAGAAAGGAAATAATAAAGGTAAGAGCAGAAATCAATACAATTTAAAATAGAAAAATAATAGGGAAAAAAAATCAGTAAACAAAATGCTGGTTCTTTAAAAAGATCAGTAAAATTGACAAACCTGTATGACTGACAAGTAATTAAATCAGATAGAAGACACAAATTACCAATATCAGGACATAAGAGAGGGGATTTCATTTCAGACTCTGCAGACATCAAAAGGATAATAAGGTAATACAGTGAGCGACTCTACACACATAAATCTTAGATGAAATGGACTGATTCCTTGCAAAGCATAAACTGCCACAACTCACAATTCAAAATCACTTACATCACAACTCACAATCATTTAAATATCCCTATAACCTTTAAGAAAATTGACTTCAAAATTTTAAAACTCCCCAAAAAGAAATCTAAAACAAAAAACAAAAAAGCCCAGATGATTTTACTGGAGAGTTCTACCAAATATTTAAAGAACACCAATTTTACCCAATCACTTGCAGAAAATAGAAAAGGATGGAATACTTCACAGTTCAGTTTTATGAAGCTAGTATCACCCTGATACCAAAACCAGACCAAAAAAAAAAAAAACAAAACACGACAGATCAATACCCCTCATGTATACAGAAGCAAAAATCCTTAACAAAACATTAGCAAATAGAATTCAGCAATATATAAAGAAAAAAAAAATGAAAGTTTTCATTCACTTTTTCAAAGGACACTCTAAGTGAAATGCGGCTCTTCCGGAGTTTATATCCTACTTCGACTAACCAGTTTGGGAAGGCTCACGCTCTTCCCGTTTGTAGCAAGAAGGAAAAAGAATGTGTTTTCCTAGGATAGTCCCCTTTAACTCTCTCTTTTTTTTTTTTAAAGATTTTATTTATTTATTTGACAGAGAGAGACAGCGAGAGCAGGAACACAAGCAGGGGGAGTGGGAGAGGGAGAAGCAGGCTCCCCGCTGAGCAGAGGGCCCGATGTGGGACTCGATCCCAGGACGCTGGGATCATGACCTGAGCCGAAGGCAGACGCTTAACGACGGAGCCACCCAGGCGCCCATTAACTCTCAAATCGACTGGACAGCTCTCTGAAGATGGGGCTGACAGTGAAATCACCCAGACAGGCAAGCGGGTCCACGTGCACCGGGAGAAACGCTCATCCAGCGGTCAGAACCGGCTGCCTCTGCCTCCCCCCCGCGGCCGCGGCGGGCCTTACCTCAGACGCGATGGAGGTGAAGCTGCCGCTGAAGTGCACGTGCTTGCGGACCTCGCTGCCGTTGGCTGTCCGCAGCCAGTCCCCGAGCGCGCGCTCGTCACTTGCTGACCGGTTGCCGAGGCTCTGATTGGGCAGGAGCCCCGCCAGGTCCCAGCGGTACGCGGGCGTGGCCCCCACCAGGGCGATGAGGATGGCCTCCGTGGCCACGTAGAGCTGAAGGAGCAAACACACACACCCGTTTGTGTTGGAATCGCAATCAGCAGGCTTACAAGCCTCACAAGATCGGTGTCCTGCTTTTCGGAAAACGAGGCACATCAAAGCAAAGGAGAGAAACGTGAAAAGGAAGCTTCCTCCCGATCTACCACCGACAGAGTCGTCAGCGATCCCCCTTGTAAAGCACCCTAGGGCTTTTTCCAGGGATATCTCCTTCTACATTTGCGATACCTCTGATGCTCGGGAAACGGCACACCAATGGTTCAACGCTGGCGAAAGTGAGGGGGGATATTACTGGCTCTGACTGGGAAGACTGACGTTCCAGCTATTTCCCCTCCACACTACACCCTCTGTTCAGACAAGAAGGCATCAGGGCCCCAGAGTATCTCAGCCTTGGATTCACAATCTAAACTAAACCCTTTGTGGCATTAGTCAAATGTCTCAGAAAACGGCATATAAAGAGAGAGAATATATTTATATACATAGTAAAGGAATATACAGAGTATATACACGTAAAGTATATAATCATATAGATTATGTACAATGTGTATGATATAGAGAATGAGCACCAGCAAAAATACTTTATTCAAACAGGTAATCATCGTACGTACTTGAATAGGTACTATTTTAAAACATAGTACACAACTTATAAGATGTAAAGAAATTCAAAATCCCAGTAAGAGATGCTCACTTTATAACCTTTAGCCCTACTTAAATCATTGTTTAATCTAAACATAGTTGTTCTCCCAAGGAAAAAAAAAATTCATTCTAGAAATATTTATTGAGCACATAAGCCATTTGTCTCTGAGTGGTCTGGGCCTTATAGCTATTCACAATTGGGTTTATAAGCTGTTGAGCCCTATGCAGCCTTTTTATGCTATGAATTTCCATTTATATTAGTTCTCGTTGTTGGATGATTATACAAGCTTCAAATAAATTAAGAAAACACAGAATTTGTCTGTTCCAGTGAGATCTCCCTAAGTGAGACAATCTTATTTTAAGAAATTACCCCATTAACTTAGAACCTGGTATCTTGAAATACCTTTAAGCAGAACAAGTGTTCACGAAATACAAGGCTGTGATTTCTCCACAGCATATAGTAACACCCCCACTGGATGGATGTGCTGACTGAGGCACAGAGAGGTGGAGACTTGCCGACAGCTTCAGCTCCATCCACCAGGGAACCCTGGAGCTTCTTCCACACCACTCTGTAGGGGCATATTCAGCTGTTAAGTGGAGAAGCTAAACCGCCAAAGGCGGAGTGATTTATCACAAGCAGATGATGGCATTACTGTCAAGGAAAGAGAAAAGAGGTCATGACATTGTGTGTGTCATAGCAGAAAGCTAATGGAAAACCCAAGGTGTGATTTTTGCACTCTGGGAAAGCCTGCGAGGACAGAAGGCAGCCCCAGTCTATTTTGAGGCGAGTGACGGTGGGCCTCTCGAGATGTACCAAGCCACCACCGGTCAGTCTGCGTGGGTGATTTATTGTGGAATGCAAAGGAAATCATGTTTCTAGATTTCTATTGCTTCCTGGCCCCTATTTGCATACTATTAAGGACGTTTTAGAACAAGAGGCAATCAGTTTATAAAAATAAAAACCGTAATAATTACAAGAACAGATAGATTACACATTTAGCAGCCGTTATAATTACCAAACCCGCTTGCGTCATTTTAGTAAATGCCCCTCCTTATTACAATCTGCTGGACTTAATTGGCGGGTAAAGAAATGAAAAAATAGGGGGCAAGGGAACTCTGGAGATGAGGCAGAACACATGTTCAAAACACAGCCTTCAATCGGGCAAACTATATTTTCTCCCTAAATACGCTATTTTCTGCTTTCGGTCCTCCACCATTCCCTTCACCTGGAAAGCACTTCACGAGGTTCAGCAGAGTTTCCCATCCTGCCAGATGCAACTCAGGTACCACCTCCACCCACCTCGCTTTCCTCTCCAACCCGCTGGAAGTCCTCTCCAGCTTCTGCCTACCCCCCAAAAGCTCCATCCTAGACCTTTGTTATAGACGTATCCCTTTCTTCACTCCATTATATTTATGTGTTTGCTCATCTTATTTTTCCTACCGGACCATTCCATCTCTGAGGACAGGATCTTTGTGTGATCCAGCCCTGGGCTTCCACAGCAAACACCTCAGGGCCTTGATACGTGATAGCACACACTCAAGTGAATGAAAGAATGAATAAATGAGCAGGATGGAACGCTAGTAATAGCAAACACTTCTCTAATGCTAATTAGGTGCCAGGAACTGTTCTAAGGGCTTGCCGGAAATATGTTCACACATCATATTTCTTATTCTAGGTAAGAGAGGAAATGCTCAAAGGGTCCTCTAATCCGAGGTGTGTTTTCTCATGGAAACCACCATTCTCAGCAATAGCTACGATGTGCAGGGCGCCTGGGTGGCTCAGTCGTTAAGCATCTGCCTTCGGCTCAGGTCATGATCCCAGAGTCCTGGGATCGAGTCCCACATAGGGCTCCCTGCTCAGCGGGAAGCCTGCTTCTCCCTCTCCCACTCCCCCTGCTTGTGTTCCCTCTCTCGCTGTGTCTCTGTCAAATAAATAAATAAAATCTTTAAAAAAAAATAGCTACGATGTGTAGAAAGTAGTTGAGAAACTATATGCACCCCAATATTTATAGCAGCATTATCTACATTGGCCAAACTGTGGAAGCAGCCCAAGTGTCCACTGACAGATGAATGGATAAAGAAGATGTGGTATGTACACACACACACACACACACACACACACACACACACACACTGGAGTATTACTCAGCCATAAAAAAGAATGAAATCTGGCCATTTGCAGTAACACGGATGGAGCTAGAGACTATAATGCTAAGCAAAATAAATCAGAGAAAGACAAATACTGTATGTCGCTCACATGTGGAATTTAAGAAAGAAAACAAACGAGTAAAGAAAAAAAAAGAGAGGGAGACAAACCAAGAAACAGACTCTAACTGCAGAGAACACACTGACGGTTATGGGGGGGGATGGGTGAAACAGGTGATGGGGATTAAGGAGTGCACTTGTGATGAGCATCGGGTGATGTACGGAAGTGCTGCATCACTCTATTGTACACCTGAAACTAGTATTACACTGTATGTGAACTATAGTGGAATTAAACATTTAAATTTAAAAATTAAAAAAAGAAAGCAGTTCAGATACAAAGAGCTGGTGCTGATATATATCCTAATTCATGGACAGGACCAGTGAAACTTAGTTCATCAGTATTATCCCTAGCAACCTGTCGCCTCAATAAGCACTTTAACCTTCTCATCTTCTCTGTCCTCCTCCCACCCCTCACAATGTTTCCAGAGCCCACCCTGCCCCTGAACACACACACGTACACCCAGGGACCTCAACTGCACACCCAGCGCCATGGCTTTATGACACCAGAAGGGTCAGCCATATGCAGCTCAGAACTCTAGGACGGTGCCACCTGCTTCTCTCCCCCAGAGTCCAAATATTCTCTCGATTGTGTCTATTACTCCACAACAACCATGCACACATTCACCCACATCTTCTTGTCTAATGATGGCACCCATCAGCAGATGGGCCTTAAAGCCACATTCAGAAACCACCATCCATGTGCCTTCGGAATGGGGCCCACCACATCGCAAATAGACCATTATCTTCTCCAATGCTACCTCTAGGGAAGAACGAGTGCCCCAGATGGCTGCACCTTTTCCCCCCCTTGCAATGTCATTATAATTAGAAAAGTGACCAACATGCACCAGGGGACTGAAATTTTTGAAGCTGCAAAAAGTGAAGGTTTTAAAAATGATTTTATATCGACAGCATTATAAGCTTTTATAATACTCCGGAAACCAAAAACGTCCCCCATTAATGATCTCATCACAATATCTTGTGCTGTGAAGTCATGGTAAGTATGACGCTGATGTTTTAAGTAGGAAAAATGGGCAACAGAGCAATTAAGTGAATCGTTCAAGGTCACGTATGACACTAATAGCGAAACCAGGATGAGAATGGGAGTCACCTGACTTTGAGGCCAGAGCTCCTCAGAGGAAAAAACAAACCAGGAAAATTCAAAGATGACTTTATTGTTGTCATTACTGTTAGTCTTTTCTGCACTTAGGACTCAGTTATGTAATTGACTCAACCAGTAGCATGACATAAGCAAGCATATCATGGACGACAGGACCAAATGCCCAGCGCCCAGCACAAACTGGGGATTCAATAACTATTTGTTGGTTGACTTACGGATACCACTTATTTTATTTATTTATTTAAAATATTTAGTTATTGTGCCCTGAATAACTGGTGTCTCGAGTCCTGTTTCTTCCCAACTCTAATTCATCCGCATAATGCCGCCAGATAGGTCTCCCTGAGACGCTCCTCATGAAGCTCTTCTGGCCAAAACATATTAGTGGATAAGTAATAAATGTCCTAGCATTCCAGATCTCCACTGTATGGCCCAACTGCTACCTAATCCACATTCAAGGCTTTCTGTACTAGCCTACTTAAATCCCCAAACGTGACTTCTAAGCACATGGTGTGAAAAGCATATGAAATCTATATGCCTGAGTTAGAACCTCAGCTCTAAGTAAACTCTCAGCAAATCAAAACCTCTCCAAAGTTCACGTTTTCTTCCAGTGAGATTGGACACTAGTAGTCCACCTCTTTATCTAATTCATTTGTATCTGATTAACCTATTCTGAGGGTCAAATAGGATGCTTCTTTAGCCAACCCTAAACTGTAAAGCCCCATACAAATGGCATCTATCGGCGCTTCCCAAACGTCACTGAGCAAGGTCTGATCCTACAGCCCGGGGGAGACCTGGTCCCACTCGTCTCTGGCAAGCTGTCGTGACCTCAAGGCTACTGCTCTGGGTCACACTTGTGTAGCAAGGGTACAGGCTGTTCTCTCTTCTACATGTTTTTTCCCAACTTTATGGTTTTCCCTGTGAAATGACCTTCCCACTTCTCTTTAAACCCAAGCTCCCAAGTTCAGCTTAAGCTCAGCCC